GGCTGGCTTTTTTTCCAAAAGAATTTTACTTTATAACAAAGTAAATTCATGAAAAAAAAAAAAGAAAGAAAAAAGGAACAAATTATAAAAACACAAGCAAGATGTAGCCCCTTATCTAAAGCCTGGCATCTGGTTTCAGATTACTGTAATTACATTCTAGACCCCCAGGCTCCATTCCTGAGTTCAATATCACAAAGCTCCCAGACTCTGTGGCCAGCTCCATCTTATTTTTCTGCATGTATAAAAACTCAATCCTGAAGCTGAAACAAAACCAATTCTCTGTCTCATCTATAGCTCTTTTGCAGCATCCACTTCTCCTTAGCTAAATGGTGGGACACTAGAGACTGACACAGGGAATGTCCTGTGCTTTTAGGCAATCCCATATCTGATTCTTTAATCACAACAGTCATGTTAGGAAATTTTACCCATGAGAGGGCTGGATTTGCCCTGGTATTTCTGGCATGGTCTGAGAGATACTTCTTCCTTTGTAATGAGGATGGCTGGATTAGAGAAAAGGCACCTAATAATTATGAAGCTCTTAACATGTGCCAAACACTTTATATGCTTAATTTTTGCACAAGGCCTTTGCTGTAATTGTCAATCATTAGTTATATTTTGTAGAATTGGAGGCTCAGAGTGGTTAAGTAACTTGTTCAAATTCTTCAAGCTAAACCGCCTAAGAGTGAAGTTTGGGCTGGTCGATTACAAGTTTGTGATCTGAACCATACAATGTAAGGAAGTAGAGGTACCTTCACTTTCTTTGAAGGTGCAGGCTTTTCCACTCTTCTTTGTCAGGTTAGAGTTATTCTTTCATTCTATAAACATTTGCAGAACCCCCTTATGTGCATACTTCTTTGGTATTAGGAGGTATAAAGGTTTCATGGACAAAGTCCTTACATTCAACTCTGTACCTGTTTCTCTAACTATACTGAGGTCATCATTCATTGGCATTTTTTTCCCCCCAGATATCAAGCCCATCATTCACCAGCATTTATTCTTTCAGATATTGAGCACCTATTATATAGAAGACACGGGCCCAGGAGCTTGAGGTGGAAGAAGCTAACTACACAGAATCTAGAGGAAGAAAAGGGCCCAGGTTCTGTTACTAGCGCTTCCTCCTGCTCTTCCTCGCCAAGTCTCTGAGGACTTTCGGGGCAGGGCTTCTGGATAAGGCTATTCCTAAGGAGAGGAGGTAAGTATGAATAGAGTTTTCTTGGCACCTTTTGCCCACTTATTGAAGTTAGTAAAGTTATCACAAACACCTGGTAAGGATGCATAAAGCTGGGAAAAGGAGACAGGCGGACAAGAAACTAACAGAAATGCAGAAATATTTTGACAGGAAAAAATTGCTCATTTATTTAAAAACAATAGGAATACCCTTTAAAGCTTGTGATCCATTTCTTTGCAGTTTATAGATTCTAGATGGCCTGTTTGCTTTGGAGAAAGGCTTTCTGGTTTAGAGAATTCTAGGCCAGAGGAAAGGGCTGAATTATAATGCCAGTACTGCTGCCAGTGTCCTGGAGGACTCCAGGTGAATTATTCAACCTACTTATGTGTCAGTTCAGAAATTCAGTGATGTCAGATAAGTCACAATGTTTTGGTAAGATCTCCAATAAAAGGATTACGATAAATAACAGCTATATAGTGTGCATAACAGAACACTTGCTTTTTTCTCTGGGTCAAAAGAGCTGAGGCAGGCTCACAATTTGTCACATGGTATAAAAACCCTTAGGAATCTGGAACTTTCTGGAATTAAAAAAAAAAGCAACAGATACCTGTTATTTGCATAGTGCTTTATGCAGTTTACAAAGCATTTTCAGATATCTTCATGACTGATCCTTACTCTGCCTGCGAAGTGGAATCAGTGTCCCCATTTTATAGTTGAGAAATCTTGGGTCACACAATCAATCAAGGTAATTCAGGCAAAGGTGCTTTATTTTGTAATTTTATTTTTTACTTTGCCTCAGCTATCTAGAAAATTATTTTTTATCTCAATAATTTGTAATAGTGAACCATCACAAATGTCATTACCAGACAAACGAAAACAGGATCTTCTTTTCTAGAGACACCTCCCATCCCTGCACAGACCTCAAACCCAGAGTCAACAACACATAGCTGTAAATCACCAGAAACTGCAAACAGCCCACAACAGTAAGGGATCATCTTCATGTTTATTATACAACAATGCCTGGCAGTTTGAAATGGATTGGCTTCTCTAAAGAAAGTTGCTCGTGTTTATTTGGGGGATAGCCAGGTAAGATTCAACTCTATTTGGTTTTTTATTTGTGAGGGTAGGAAGGCTGAGAAAACAAGGACTGTCTAGAGAATTAGCATGGAAAACTAACAACTATGTAAAAGCTTTAGGCACATAACCGAGTTAAGTGTCTATCAACAGCAAGCTGATTGACACTATACCCTCCTTTAGGGGTGGTGGTGATGAACTGTATGTTGAGCCCTGTTCCCCTACGAACAAAGAAACACCCTGCCCCCACCGTCTTCGCTTAGTAAGGCAGTGCTGTATGTAGGGGCTGTCTGGAGGCAAGTCTTCCCGGTGTGGGAGAGCGGGTTCTGTTCAGTCCAATTTGGTAAACGTTGATAGACCTGCCAATGCATTTAGGGTGGATTTGGATGACAGTCAGTTTTTCTTGCCTTGTCCACAGTTGGGCCCCTGCCTGGGGAAGCTGGAACCACCTAGGGTCCTCCTTGTCCCAAGGCCTACAGGTTCCTGGCCCGCCACATTAACATCACCACAAGGAAGGCGCCCTGCCGCGTGCACTCATTTGCATCCTAGTGTTTGCTTCGAGACTGGAACTCACGTGCTCACATTTACTGGGGCTTCCAGGGACGGAAGCAGAGGGGAAGACCTGTCTCGGGGTGCGCAGGTGACAGAGTGCGCTGGGTGGGACGGTAGGGGCTCCACAGAGGCTGAGCCCTTGCCCCTACCCCAGTTCTCTAATGGCCCCTGGTCCGCATTTGCGAGTGCAAGCGTCCCCTGGGTCAGGACCCTTGCCCTACGATCCTCCACTTCCAGCAAGGCCCCCCAAACCGGCCCCCTCCCCATTTCTCTGCTGGCCCGGCCCACTTGGCCTTGCTAGCCGGAGGCTGGGGGCGGGCACCTGCCCCCACCTCTCGGCGTCCCCTCCCCTTTACTTCCCCCTCCCCTCGTTCCCTCCTTCCCCTCCCCCCCGCGGCGAA